TGTATTAAAAACTTCTTTGGATTGAACTACAACCGGAATGGATTTAATCCCGAATGACTTGGGATTTTTTTCACTCATTTTTTTTTTTTTTTTCACTCAAGCAGGGGCGTTGACGACGGGTGACGATGAGCAGCAAGCAGGGGCGCGGCGAAATGGGTCTCACGGATTGAGCGGCGATGGGTCTCTAAGCTTCGATGAATGATGCGGTTGCCAGTCAATTGGGGAATAAGGGTTTTGTGAATGGCTATGAATTTGGAGATGGTATGAATTTCTGGGTTTTGAGGATGGTTATGAATTTAATTTGATTTAATGAATCTGAGTTTTGAAGAAAAAAAAAAATTGGAACGAATGAATCAAATGGGTTTTGAACCTAGCCCTGATACTATGTTTCAATTTGATGAATTGTATCTTTTTCATTTATTTCACATTCAAATATGTATAGAGTATATATAGAGAGCATTCTAGACATAATTCTTAGAATCAAGCTATTTCCTTAATTATAGCCTTACAATCTTCTATAGTCAAATGTAATCCTCTAAAATAGGAAGGAAGAAATAACATCAATCCGTACCGCTAATGACAACCTACTTTAATAATTTTGTTATTAAAATTGATATGTTATTTTGTTATTGGAACACATAAGGGGTGAGTAGTTAAACATTGTCCTTTAAAATATTATATGAAAATTTTGATATTACCTTGTATTTGAATTGAATGTAGATCCATTTTATTTGTCAGAGTTAGATGTATCTTTTTCATCATTCTCAAGTTCCTAATGCCTTCAATTGATAAGCCCGGTAAATCTTTTTATCCTTTTTCTCTCATCTGTGGAAAATATGAGAACAAAGATTAGGAGCTAGTTTGTGAATACTATAACATCCAATTGGTATAGTTTTGTGTTATTTACGAGCTTCTATTTGTTTGTACATTATTAAACATATTGAATAAAATATGATTATTTTATTAATATAAAGAGATTAGGGTTTCAAATGGAGGTTAGGTATGGAGATTTGCGAGGGGAGAAAGAGAGAGAAGAGATTCACACTAGAAATAGGGATTCTAAAAAAATTTAAATTGAGAAAGAAAAAAAAGTTGGGTTTTGGTTTAACCCGTAATAAGTTGGACAATGACTATTTTTATAAAAATTTAAAATATGTAGATGTGTCTAAATTGTATTGGGTCATATTAATTGGGAGAATTGTAGGGAAAGACCCAAGTATTACTCCCTCCTTCTTTTTTTTTTTTTTTTTTTTTTTTTCAGTAGTTAAATGTAATTATAGCCGAAGAAAGAGGATAGAGGCCTGGACTAGACCAAAACCCAGGGCAGACCCAAGTATTTCTCCCTCCTTTTTCTTCTTCTTTTTTTTTTTTTTTTCAGTAGTTAAATGTAATTATAGCCGAAGAAAGAGGATAGAGGCCTGGACTAGACCAAAACCCAGGGCGAGAGGCCCAAAAGCCCAAAGCAATAACCTACCAAAACATTTATAGGTCGTTGTTGCATATTCAATTTTAAAGAATTTAATTTTCAAATTGATATTTTTTTGTGATACTACATCTTCAATACACACAAAGTGTAGTAATGATATGATTGAAATCCGAATTCATAACGCCACAATCAATGGGTGGGTTGTTGGGTGATAGAGTTTGGACAGCTGGCACAAAGCTAGCGATGGTGATGCAAATTCAAACTCACCCCAAGGTATTAACTTCTAGCATCACCACCAGTTGCCACATATTCAGTTGGAGGTTGAACCACTCTTTATGAATGCCCCTTTGAAATTGTCTACGTCTCTCCATATCACCTGTTAATGAAATAAATTCACGCGTGACGTCGGTATGGATGGCAATGAGGCAGGTTTGAAACGAATTTTTTAAATTTCGTCTCCTTTTTTTTAATTTTTGTCAAGTTCATGCTCACTCCGAAACCTATGACAGGTTGAATTTTCATGTCCAGTCCCGCTCCGTTGAGAAATACTTTGTCCCCATGCCGGACCCGTTAACAAATTTTTTTCTCCCACTTTTTGAAACTTAAGCTCCTGCTAGTTAAATGTGGAAAGTGTGGGAATGACACAATATAAATGAAATTATGTATCCTAACAAAAATAAAAAATAACATGCACATACCATAATTCAGATAACATAATAAATAAAAATAAAAATTTAATACAATCAAATCACAAGAAGTCTCCAACTTCTACCATAACCAAAACAAAAGCAAATTTAATACCAAATTTACATCCCAAATTAGGATTGTAAGACATAAGTAACTGGATAAGCCGCTAAAATAAGTTATATATATATATATATATATATATATAGTTATATGCTTAGCGGGACTGGGCGGGACCCCTAGAATATGTATGCTGAAAAACCCTTACCCGCCCCGTGACCCGCAACGGGTACCAAATTTGTATCCATGCCCGCCCCAACGGTATAAAAAGTGTTCTCATATCCGTTATTAGCGGGGCGGGGCGGGGCCCTGATAGAGCGGTAAAAACTGACATCCCTATATGTCGGTACGTGTTATTAATTAATTAATTATTATTTTTATAATGAAGAATAGTAAAAACTTATTATCGCTGTTTTTTTGTACCTATATGTATCATTTAAGTATGCACCTTCCTGTTAAATAAAAAATATTTTTGTTTGAAAAATCGTAACTCACGGCATATAATTTAGGATGAAAATAATATCATTTAAGTATGAGTTAATCATGGTAAGTTTTGAATGTAAAAACACATATTTTCAAGCCTTACCAATCAGTACATTTGTGTATTGATAAGATCATTTACTATTTCTTGCCACTCAATCTTTCCCCGGTTTCCAATGAACCATGTAGCGAAGAGAAGACCACGATTGATGGATGAATCTCCATTAGCTGTGTAGTGCACGCGCTATACAAGTGGGGTGTTATACTCTTGGTTGCATTTCGTGTACTTAACCTAGGATTTAATGTAACAAGAAACCGCCCTACGGCAGTAGCTACACGTGCATGTTGATTGTTGTTGACCACTTCAAAAGAGTATGTTTTTGTTTTCCATTTTTGCTTTTGGAATATTTTAACCCTTATAACTCTCAATTTTGCACCCTTTTTTCATTTTTAAATTTTTCATGGCTTTGATTAGTTAGGTGAACACAGGAGAAAATTTTTAATTTTTTTTAGAGTTTGAATAGATAGAAAAAGAAATTTAATGAAAATTTTTGTTTCTCTAAGTATTTTTTTTCAAAATTTATCCACCAAAAAATACGAGAAATTTTTATTTTTAACGTGAAAGAAGCGCTTATTTATTTGCAATTCTTATTTTACTCAGTAAATTAATCTTGGAAAGTTCTCTCCAAAACAACTTCTATTTTAAGGTAAGTTCTCTCTAAAATAATTTCTTTTCAAGGTAAGTTTGCAATGCAAATTATACAGTTATATCAATGATAATTAGTGATAATTTGTATAAAATTGCTTAAAATAGATCCTGCTTCTATATATAATTTTTTATTTTTTTAAATTGTCCGTACTATGTTGCAATTCTAGTCACTCTGTATATATATATATATATATATGGTGAAATTTTTTATTTCCTCCCAAACAGTAGTATGGCTTTTCATCTCTAATTTTTTTATTTTTTTTTTAATTTGTTTATTTTAAACTAATAATTAGTTTTACTTAAAAAAATATTATGAAGCCATATTCTAAATATAAATAATGGAAATGAATATAAATAATTATATATTTGAATTAAATAATCCATCATTTTACTACATAATGGTAGTTTTGATATGCATAATCACTTTATTTTAACAAACTAATATTTTTCTACAATTTTATTGGATAAATTTTTATGCAAATCAAATGCATGCTAGAAAATATCTTTTCTTTTCACTTTCACTTTCTTTTCTTTTCTTGTTTATTTCCATCTAACCCAACATAGTCTAATTTTTTCTTTATGGGTACTATTCTGGTATTTTTTCTTTATGGGTACTATTAGGTTAGAAAATGTGGTTTTGAAGGTTTTTTTTTTTTTTTTTTTTTTTTTTCAAATATTGATGACAGTTATAACATTTGAGATTAATAATATTAATTACTATATCAAAATTATCAATAAAAAGGATTGATGGGGTGGCATATTTTTTTTATTTAATTTTTTTTTTTGTTTGATTGAAAAGAAGAGAAATTATTATGCATGGTTTTACCTTCCCTAATATGTTATTTGCAAAATTATTATGCATGGTTTTACCTTTTTAATAACCGAATTTTGCTTATCCTTTTACTTCCTATCCTCGAAACCAAACAAGGAGGGTTTAATCTTTTACTTCCATATCCTCCTTATGGTTGGAGGGTTGAAAAAAATAGAAGAAAAAAAGGGAAGTGATGGACGCTGCATCATTAGGGTAGGAAATGTGTTTCCCTCACTTTTTGTTTGATAGGATGAAATGAATAATAAAATGATTGATGGGATGTCATATTTTTTTTGTTTGATTGAAAAGAAGGGAAATATGATTTTTATATTAGTTTTACTAATATATCCTTATTATTTAAAATTCTATATTTATTCCAAATTTTTAGGAAAATCAAAAATGAAAAATACATATTTAGGATAGTTATTATTTTTTTCCTTTGCTATTTCTTTTAATTTTGGTAAGATAGAAAAATATAGAGGAGGGAGGAATGCTTCATCTTTCCTTGCTTCCTCCCTCTTTTCCATTCATACTTAATCTCTTCCTCCAACCAAACACAGTAAATATATATTTTTCAATCGGTGTAGTTTGAGAAAGTTCAAATGTACGTAATTTTATCATTGCATGTGGAGAGACTATTAATCATTTCAAATTCATGATTTCATGTTAAAATGTCATGATTGGCGGAAATGAGATCTAAACTTTCAAGTTTCTCCTATTGCTTGCACCATTTTCAGGTTTCTGAAATCATTTCTCTCTCTCTTACAATAGAGAGAGAGAGAGAGAGAGAGAGAGAGGCGGTTGGAATCAGGGTAGATTAAGTTATTTAAGACCCCCGAGCATCAAACATGTCTTAAAACCAGTAATGGGACACCATCACTCCTCACCCACCCAAGTCAAAAATCTCCACTTCAGTCTGATTCCTTCTTAGGTCATTGTCGCAGTTGTAGCTACCGTTTCCAAACCCCCACCCAACTCCTCTAATTTCACATCCGTCGTCTCCTCTACGCATCGTCACCACTCTCCCCCGCCCTCCTCTCTCTCTCTCTCTCAACTACACACACATTATACATACGTATAGAGATATATATACACACCCTCCTCACTTCCATTCTAAAGTACCAATCTTTTCCTTTCCCCAGTCCCCTACCATGACAACAGAAACACAGCCTCACTCCAACACCGGCAACGGTGGCGACACCACCACCGCCACTGCTTCGTCCGCTGTTCAGCTCCAACAAACTCGCAAACTGCCTAATTTCATGCAAAGTGTAAACCTCAAGTACGTGAAATTGGGATATCACTATCTAATGACACACCTGTTCACTCTGTTTCTAGTCCCTCTCATCGCCATCGCAATCATTGAGGCCTCACATATGAAGTACGACGACATCCACCAACTCTACCTCCGCCTCCACTACAACCTCATCACCGTCGTCATCTTCTCCGCCGTCATGGTATTCGGGTCCACCGTCTACATCATGACCCGACCCAGACCCGTATACCTCGTCGACTATTTCTGTTACCGTCCTCCGTCCCAGCTCCAGGTCCGATTCCAAAAATTCATGGATCATTCAAGGCTCACCGGAGACTTCGACGAGTCGTCGCTCGAATTCCAGCGCAAGATCCTTGAACGGTCCGGTCTCGGCGAAGAGACCTACCTCCCGCCGGCGATGCACTGCATTCCGCCGCAGCCGTCGATGGCCGCCGCCAGAGAGGAGGCGGAGACGGTGATGTTCGGCGCCTTGGACAACCTGTTCAGCACCACCTCTGTGAAACCCAAAGACATTGGCATACTTGTGGTGAATTGCAGCTTGTTCAATCCGACCCCTTCTCTCTCCGCCATGATCGTGAACAGGTACAAATTGAGAGGGAACATTAGGAGCTTCAATTTGGGTGGAATGGGTTGCAGTGCAGGTGTTATCGCAATCGATTTGGCTAAAGACATGCTTCAAGTGCATAGAAACACTTATGCCATTGTTGTTAGCACAGAGAACATTACCCAGAATTGGTATTTCGGAAACAAGAAGTCCATGTTGATCCCCAATTGTCTGTTCCGTGTTGGTGGCGTCACTGTTCTGTTGTCGAACAAGACCGCCGAGAGACGGCGGGCGAAGTACAAACTCGTCCACGTCGTCAGGACCCATCGCGGCAGCGACGACCGCGCCTTTCAATGCGTGTACCAAGAGCAGGACAACAATGGTAATTACTCCAGAGTTTGCTGCTTCAATTTTCTAAAATCAATTTTTCAAAATTCAAAAAATTGAAAATTATCTTTTGGCACCACGGAATTAGGGGGTTTATATTTAGAATGAAAAAAATTTAGTTAAATTTAATTAAAATTTTTAACTAAATTTTATCTACTCTCAAACCCAAATCACAAATTTCCCACTCTTAGGGCTGCAAATGAGACGAGCCGAGCCTTAGGTTGCTTGGGTTTGGACTCGTTTGCTTATAGTTTGGTTCGGACTCGTGACGGGCTAAAAAAATCTGAGCTTGGGCTAGGCTCATTTAAGAAAATAAATTGAATTTTTGTTCAAGTTCATTTTCTAGCTTGCGATTAGTAAATTATTTTATACTTTCAAAAATTAAAGAATTTTATTAAAAAATAAAAAATAAATGCAAGCGAACTCTATATGAATATAAACGAATTTATACGAACGTATATTCATGAACATAAACGAGCCTACACGAGCTCATTTTCACGAGCCTACACGAACCGAGCCCAGCATTGCATGGGATTGGCTCGTTTACTAAATAATCTTAGAAATCGAGTTCAAGCTCGGCTCATTTGTTTAACGAACGAGACCGAGTCCGAACTATTTATGAATAGCTCAGTTCATTTGCAACCTTACCTACACCTAAACTCAATGAAAGAGAAAACTATTAAATAATTGTATAAAAAGACTCTTATCATATAATAAAATTAAACACTTTTAAAAGATAATTAACTAAACAAAAATTTCAGAGAATTATAAAAGAGAATTATCTCAAAACAATTATATTCTAATTCAATTTTGAAAAACCCTAAAATAAATAGATTTTTGTACAATTTTTTGTCTTTCAAATTTTAGAAACAGTCATCTAGGTAAATTTTGTACAATATTTTTAGTTCTTTGAAAGAATTACTATTATCTGAAAAATAGTCTCTCTTTTTTAACGGAATTTGTAGGATATATTTGTTAAAAAAATAAGCCAAATAAATTTTTGTATCTTCTAATATTTTATATCCTCTACTAATAGGTAAGACGGGAGTTTCATTATCCAAAGATCTAATGGCCATTGCGGGAGGAGCATTGAAGGCGAACATCACCACATTAGGGCCTCTGGTGCTGCCAATAAGCGAACAACTTCTGTTTTTCGCGACCCTAGCAATGAGGAAGCTAATCAATCCGAAAATGAAGCCATACATACCCGATTTCAAGCTTGCTTTCGATCATTTCTGCATACATGCAGGGGGGAGAGCAGTGATCGACGAGCTGGAGAAGAACCTGCAGCTTCTGTCAACACACGTCGAGGCTTCTCGTATGACTCTGCACCGGTTCGGGAACACTTCATCGAGCTCGATTTGGTATGAATTGGGGTATACAGAGGCAAAAGGGAGGATGAGAAAGGGACACCGTGTTTGGCAGATTGCTTTCGGGAGTGGGTTCAAATGTAACAGTGCAGTGTGGGAAGCTCTCCGGAATGTCAACCCCTCTGCTAATAGTCCTTGGCAAGATTGCATTCACAAGTATCCACTGCATATTTCTGCATAGTAATATTATTAGTTTATTGGGTGGAATTTTTTTTTTTTTTTTTTAGGTGTTGAGTTGAGAAGCATAAACAAAGTCTCCCACTGTGGTTCTTGTACCATACTACTGTGATAGATACGTAGTGTTAATTGTCTTGTGATGTGTAGTGTGAGGATGTAAAAGGGAATGATTCATGGAGAGACACACTGTTGTATAAATAATACGATTGTTATGGTGTTTGGTTCAATCAAATATTTAGTTTTAGTACAGAATTGACGTATTGAATTTGAAAATGGTGTAAATTCCATTAAAAACCTTAACCGATTTTCCTTCCCATTCTAATTTTGAAGTGCAAATTTGGTAATTTGAAAAAGAGCATTAGTGTCGGAATAATTATTGAATATTTTGGAATGCTAAATAATTACTTACCAATGACGGGAGTACTACATTGTTGGTAACTTGGTATCCAGAATATCCAATAATTTCTTGTTCATTAATTAAGTGAAGCTCAAATAACCTATAAGTATCCCGGGATTTGCTTTATTAAATCTATTGTAGAACACTTAATTTATTGTTTTTCTTCTTTATTTTTTTCCACCCATTTTATGTTGATTGAGAGTAGAACAATGCTAAAGCACAAAACTGTCACAAAAAATGCTCTAAAACAGAGGATAAGAATGTAGCCCTCTTAAAAACATTTGGAAAGAAAAAATTGGGTCAAAAGAAAATGGTATTTTTGGAGTTGTGTCAATAATTTGGTTTAGATCATTGATTTAAGTATCAAATTTAAAGAGTGGTTGATTCTATTACATGACGTAATAATAATGTCATATAGTAAAGCTCACCACTTCACTCACATTCAGATCGGTGCTTAAATCATTATTCTTTGTGACTGGTACTTAATTCATTTTGATTCAGTAAATAGTCCATTGACCCTTCTAAGTGAAGTTGAAATTACATTACAATGTTTCTGAAATAGGAAATTACATTACATTGCAGTAGTGATGTTGGAATAAACAAAGATGACTTATTACATAGGGGGAGAGAGAGATATTAATTTACATATTCACACGTCGACGTTTTACTCATAACAGATGATCTGCTGGTAAAACATTAGAGGGGGGGCTTGGACTTCATTGCAGCTTAAGGTACTTCAGAAGCCTGAAAAAGCAAGCAAGAAACAGAGCAAACCTTACCTCATTAAATAATAAAACAAAATTCCTATATATATTTTTTCTTTCAATATTATGCAAATAGACCCACATGATACACATTAGCGAGAAATTCTCTATAAGGAGAGCAATGTGCAAGTATATTATTCCAACAAATGTGTGTGATTATATATATATATATATATATATATATATATATATATATATATATATATATATCTCTTAAGGAGCTTGGGTTGGGCTGAAAGCTGACCGTCTATACGGCTTGAATGGACTGCCCATGGCCCAAGTTCAACCAAGAATTAAGTTGGAAAATTCAATGTAAAACTTGATTTCCTGTTGGGCTAGGGTGGAAAAGTTGTCTCATAATTAATTCTATTGCCTGCTTGAAACAAAATTTAAATAGCATACAAAGAATAGAAAAGAAGTTACTTGAAAAAAAAAAAAAAAATGTAAATACAAAAACATCTGAAAAGTGAAATCGGGACTAAACTTCAGTTAATATTGATGCACTATAGACGTAAACAATGGAATATGGAGTTGAATTTGATCATTACATGTTGATGGTACTATATGCAAAACATGTATATATATATATATATATATGTGAAATTATCTTTTTAGGTTGGGTTCCTTAAGATTCAGCCCAACCAGACCTGTGTGTGAGAGTGGCAAGTAAAAGGAAAATTAGTTGGGCCTGACATGGGATGATCTAGTCCAGAACTTAAAAAACAGGCTTTATGTTGTTGTATCATACTGTAATATACAGTGATTAGTCAGATGATGTAGGATTAGATCTCATATGGGCTTTCTTTTTATCTGGTTCAGAATAAAAGCTGAGAGGAATGTCCATAGATTCTTTTTGTGGAATCTGTAAGATGTAAATAGGTTGTCCTTTTTAATTGGGAAACATCCACCACATCTACTCTCAAACTTTTTAGGGCCTATAATTAGAAAATAGAAATTAATTCAAAATTTCTGCTGCTTATATAATGATTCTCTTACAAAAAAAATATTTTATAGTGGTGTCACATGCACCGTAAGTCCTGTCCACATACATCGAACAATTATCTTACTTGAAAGTGACCCATGAAGAATATTTGAACTTTGAAAGTACTCTAATAGGTGAGGTGAAAGACTTTGCTATTAAATTATTTCCTTAACTTACACTCACATATTAAAAGGAACAAATTTAAGATTCATGTTTGATTTTAAAGTTTTCTAAACTATATATGAACTTGTAAGAGCTATGGTCACTTGAAATTGTATCCAAAAAGAAAAAAAAGGTACGAAAAAGTAATAAAAATGGTAAAAGAGCACAAGCCAAAGAAATTTAAGCATGGTGGTCACATATTAGTGTACAAGTGTTTACCAACAAAATAAGCCAATTACAAAATATATATCTCTAAAGACTACGTATATATGTACCTCTGTTCTTCGTCTGCATTGCCATTGCGTCCAGTGGTGGCCTTGTACTTGGGAATAGGAACGTGACCAGACTCGATACGCCTGAGATCCTCAAGAAGAATCTCATAGTGCCTCTTAACTTCCTCGGTAGACTTCCCGCCAACAGCCCTGGCCACGTTCTGCCACCGGTCAGGGGTGTCCTTGTCGTACTGAGCCAACGCCTTCTCGAACAACTTGTTTTGCTGGGCTGTCCACGACGAACCCGACCTACGCGAACTCAGAGAGCCTGATGCCATAACTCAGTACTCTAGCTAATATATATTATTATACTGAAGAGGACTTGTGAGGCCTATACTTTTATACGGATAGGGATAAAAGAAAGAGAAAGAAAGGGAGTGTTTGGATAGATAGAAAGAGAGAGAGAAGAGGGGATAAGGTAAAGGGATGCTATGAGCAAGAGGCTCCATGGTTGCTGCATATATATACTACTATAATCTAGATGGTGGTGAGGAGGGTGGCGGTGAAGAGGAGACAGTTGGCGAATCTATATTTGGCGGAATTGAAGGTGGAGTAATGGAGTGACTCGGCTACTTTGGAACCACAAGATGAAGTAGGACAAGGATCTGCAATAGGGCAGCTGGGAGGGGAATCTGTATCAATTAAAGAAGGATTATTATATATTTATTTTTATATATATATTTCTAATGGTTCTGTCTTCTTTCAATTAATTTGTAATATCTCAAAAGTTTGATTTCTTAGAATCTTTAGATGTTTGCTTGTATACTGAGAGAACATAATAGAATATTCACGTCTTTAATTTTTTAATTGTAGAAGTACGTTTTTATTCAAATCCTAAGTATAAAAGTATAGTGTAATATCACGTGTAGCCGGGAAGTTGTGAGGGTGGCAATTCATGTTCATGGGTCATAATCGTATCGTGTGGATATAAGGGTATTATACTAATTAAATAGGTAAATTCAAACCTAACCCATTTAATAATCGTGTCAAGAACTTTCAACACTAACCCAAATCATTTATTAAACATGTAAACATATTAACCTGTTTAATGATCTATTTATCAAAATGAGACATTTAATATTTAATCAAATAATAATAAATTGTCACAATTAACTCAAATATTCAAAATAAGAAAAATATCATAAGGTATAGACAATGTTTATGTTGAATTGACTTAACTATTTATAGTAATTGAGTTTAAAAAAGTAACATATTACATATGTCATATTCACGAAAACAATGCTTGCATCTTGCGCAGGGACGTGGCCTTCTCACATGCTAACACCTATCCAAAATAAAAAATAATAAAAATATGGGTAATGCCTATTTGTCCGGTTAAGCCTGTTTTTCCTTATCATTCTCTTCTTTCTCTTTTTCTCTCAATACCTAAACTGTGCTGCAACAGACCCATTCTAATATTCCCATTTTTCTCTCTCTCTCACCAAACCTCAACACCCATCCAAACACCCTTAATTGCAAAAAGTGACCCAACAATTTTTGTAATTTTTACTTTAAATCAAAATTCCTTAATTTTATGCTCTTCAAACCCTAAGTTGAGTTGTCCTCTATCTGTGCATATTAGATGATGGATTGCGATTAGAGATGTTTAAGAGCAAGTAAAAAAATGAAGAACGAATGATGAAAAAGGGATTGGGTGAACGAATACAAAGGTGCAAAGATATATATATATATATATATATATATATATATATATATATATATATAACATGAAGAGATGAGATGAAAGAAAAACTGAAAGAGATGAAGATAAGAGGGGAGTAATATATGAGGTTTCAATGTGTTTGATGGCTTGGCTGGAGCTTTCATTGGCTGTCCCTTCTTTGCTCACCGACGAGTTGGACGAAGTGCTAGCCACCTTGTGCAAGCTCGATGACGAGGTAGATCTTGATTTTGGTAGCAAGGACTTTGTGAATTTTGAGGATGTTGGGGTGGTTGTTGAGGTGACGCATGGTGGAGTGAGATGGGAAGATTAGAATGGGTGGCGCAATTTAGGTATTGAGAGAAAGAGAGAGAGAAGAGAGTGATAAGGAAAAACGAATTTAATTCGGACAAATGGGCATTATTTATATTATTATTATTTTTATTTTGAATAGGTGTCAGCATGGGAGGAGGCCACATTAGCAGGGAGGATGAACTTCATCCTCCTTGTACAAGATGTAAGCATTGTTCTATTTACGATTATAACACGTTGAGTTAAATGGGTTATACGGGTTGAACCTCTCAACTCTAACCTTATACGGTTAAGTAAACAAGTTAATCGTGTTAATCCATTTATGATCTGAATCTGTTTAAAGTCAACCCAAACTCACTTATCTCGTATCTCGTATCGTATTCGAGTCGTGTTGACGAGTCGTATCATAATTTGCCACCCCCTAATACATGTACACACAACATCTATATAAAATTTTTTTGTATCGTATTTATTCTTTCTTAATAAGTTTAGATAACCACTGGGTTATTAGTTTTACTTCTAATGAATTTCCTAAAATGAAATTGATAAATATCTATCTAATGTTGCACGCGGTCCAAAAGGTTAGAGCCTCAGAGGTTGTGTAATTAAAATTGGAAAGTTATGAATATTATTTCAAACGATAATAATTATCATGACCTAATAGTATAACCATAATAGTATAACCAAAATGTTAGTTTATGAATTTCCATCTATTGGTTAAATTATTCGCCATTATTCTCAGTTAAATTATTAGGTTTTACTAGCATTGACCTAATTAATTTAAAGTAAAAAATTTAGTTTTTTAATCAACCATTATTACAAATATATTTTGATAGGAAAAATATCATCGGACAAAGGAGATTAAGGATCCGTTTGATTTGTCACTCAAAAAATTATACAAAAACTCAATTTAGTTCAGTTATAAAAAAATGTTTTCAAAAAATCAAAATTGTTTTCTAAATGGCTAACCAAGCAAATCCTAATTATTTCTTCCAAGATTGCTTTTATTGTATCAGTGAATTTGCTTACATAATAGTAGTATATAATATAAACAATATATATTAAAATAATATATATGATGGCCATATATGACAATGGATGATCCTGATCATGTCCTCCCTCTGCTTGTTATTATTGTATGGATCCTTTACGTGTCTGACACAAACCCTAATTAGGGTCAGATGGTAGTATTCGAACGTTTCCATACACAAAGATGCATATTCTTTTTAACAAAAAAAAAAAAAGATGCATATTCTAGGGTTATTGACATCAGCGTACGAACTACCACTATGTTTTAAGTAAAAGACAATTAACAAGGAATATTATTACTTGGGAGTTGGGTTTGCTGCAGTTTTTATTCGGTCTGATCTTTGGAATTTGAGTTTCGGATCTTTCTTCTGTTGCACTAACAACCTTCCAAAACCCTTCTAGCTGTCCACCTGATCAAACTCTATCAATACATACAATAGATAGCTATCACAATATATATATCTATCTACACGCGCGCGCGCGCGCACACACACACACATATATATTGTATACATGCATGTATATGCATTTATTTGATTTTATTTAGCGGGACCTCTTCATCAGTATCTTATCTAGTTGTTCAATGTTAACATTGAAATTTAAGTGTGTAGATTAACTGATCGATCAATCACTTTAAAATCGTACACAAGTTGGAGGGGTCTTTAATCCACAATAAACCTCGGACAATTCATAGCACTATTTACATAATATAGATATATTAGATGTAGAAGCTCAAGTGATATATATAATAAGAATTATAAGATGCCTTCGCGAGTAGGCCATAGTTGTTTTGGTAATGATCCACACATCATGTGAACCGGTCAACTGAATAACTAAAAGACAGACTAGTCACCCTCGTTGGTTGGTCGTGTGCTGAAAATTTTAAAAACTAATATTAGAGTACAGGAACCCGGGTGAAAATCAAGAAAAACGTTATAATTGAATTATTAGCCTTTTTCAACGTTCATAGTTGACCGATGTTTCTTGCGTCGGTAGATCTTTACCGGCGCTCCTTAAAGAGTCAGGATTAAGGTTCCTTTACCAGTGATGGAGAGCGCGAGAGATGGTGCAGGTGAGAAATGCCGGTGAGAAATCGGCGGCTCTTGCTGGTGAGAAATCAGCGGGCCTTGCTTCGAAAGCGAGACAGAGTGAAGGAGAGACGGGGCCTGAAGTTTCTATCCTAGGGCCTGAAGTTTCTAATGTGAGATACCCAAAGAGAGAGACGGGGTTAGCAAAAGGAAAAGTAAGAAATAGCTTACAAAACGACGTAGTAAAGTTGCAGAAAATTAGAGCGCCAAATGTTCCCGCAAGAAATAATTTCACTAAATTTCGCACTTACCAGTTCCTGTAGTGTACGCTGGTTAAAGTATACATATACCAGCGTGGTGTATCCCTAATTTCTTGTAGTGTGCAAAATATAATGTGAAAGTTGTTATTCCAATTTTGTTTCCGGAGGCTGTGCTTCTAAGAAAGATTTTTTTTACTCTTTTTTTGCCTTGTGGGTCGTGGTTCTGGGTTGTAAATATTTGGTGTTATTCATGAAAATATACATCTTGTTTTTCGCATAGTGAAATTTTTTGTTGAATTTTCACTATACTTTACACAAACTACATAAATTTTTATATTTTATATTTTTCATGTGATGCAAGTTTATTCTTTTATCAATTTTTTGATTTGTTCTTGATTCCCCACGGTTGTTGTAACATTATCACCCAAACAAGCTCCTATATATGTATATATATATTAATATATGGACACAGATCGACAACCCTCAAATGTCATCAAAGAGGTTGTCGTGATTGAGCAAGTTGGCTAGGCACTTTTGTTGTCAAAAGGTGTCCACATTGATGGTGAAAAGGTTTGGGGTGGTTGATTATATGATAAGAGAGTGATAGCAAATGTGTGATAGCAATCTGTAATGAAAATGTGTACCCCATTCAATGATTTTCTTTTAGCCAGGCCTAGTAGACTCATCATCACCCGAGCTCATTCCCTTTCACAGACGCTGCTTTCCTATCTAGCCTATACATACATACACACACATATATATATATAGTCGGTCGGTGGTCCTTCCTTCCCTGGCTATATAACTCACAAGTTGCAGAATCCTACAAAAAGATCTTTGATTGCTTAAGTAGAAACAAAGCCCCTTTAATCATTTATGGCACTCATGAAAGCTAACCAGGACTCAACTTTTAGGAACCTAAGGACTCCACCACTCATACATGGTCCATCCCATTGAATGCTATTAGAACTAACTGTTCCGAATTAGAAAGATTCTCTGATTGCAATTGGAGTGTGTGTGTGTGTGAGAGAGAGAAAGAGAGAGAGATTGACAAATGGGAGTGAAAATGGTTGAGGATAAGCAGATAGACGTATGAGGTTTGTATACCAACCAAATGGAATATATCAAACAATCACTTGGCTAGAGTGCAAGTTGCCTTCAATTCCTTATCTTAGACTAGCTCACAAAATGCATTCACCATGAAAAAATATTGGAGGGGGGAAGCAAAATTCGTTGCTTGAGTTGATTCCAAAAGATATGATGGAAATTTGGAACTCGAATGTGATCCTTAGTTTATAAAGATCATATTTGAGGCATAAAATATGAACAATTTTTTGAA